TATCTGGACCCTCTCAGCTAATGCCCTGCCCACTTCCTGCACTGGACAATGGGGACCTCTGCTGATTTACAGACCTGGCAGCCTCCTGTGACTGGAGAGGCTAGAGCCTTATTCTTACACTCAGCCATTTGCTAACTGTGCCTTCTGTCTACAGCCTCTCAGAAGTCGTTTTGGCTGTTTCATTTCCCATGGCAATGGGGGTTACTACCTAGTAACACTTTACCTTAGTCTGAAGAGGCTAAAGCCAACTTCTCCTGCGGTCATTGATTGATATTTGTCCTTAGCAACTCTGGCTAGACTTGCCTCTCTTCACTCAGCACATAGCAACAGGGGCTTCTCCTTAGTAACAGACTGCTGGTTCATCCCATTGGCCACCGGAAACCAGTTCCCACCTCTCATACATAGCCATTGGCCAGCTGCACCATCTATCTACAACCCCTCAGACTTGGTCTAGACTAGAAAGGTCGTATTGCTGTGGTCTAGTAACTCTTTCACCACCACTGCACGTCTGGTTGGCTCTTGAATTTGATCATTTGTTATCTAATTCACCAACAATGGCTCTCTTGCCAAATTTAAAATACACGCTCTTGTTAACATTTCCACCAACTCTGAACCCATTTGCAACCCTATCATTATTGCTCTAGTTTGACCTCTAATCTACAGCTCTGATAACTTTTCCTCGTCAATGCTTATCTGGTATGTTTTAGCATGCAGCCTTCAACTAACTATTCTTCCCTCAATGCCCCTCTGATGTGGAGCTTGAACCCATGCCTGTTAATTTTTCTACCATCTAGGTATATTGGACTGATCTCCAACTCAACCTCTGTGGAACCTTCTAACATTAATGACCTTGATAAAATCTATTTGATAAGACCACCAGGATCACATTCATAGTCTGACAGAAATGGGTTTATTAACTTGCTGTAGCAAGGGAGACCACACATCACAGGAACTGTGGGGGATCTCATCTAGGATAGCCAACTTTTCATAGTTTCCCCCAGGCTTTCCTAATTTTAGTAGTGAATGTCCTTTGCCCCAGTAAACCCCTTAGTCCTGAGCAAACAGGGCTGGTTAGTCACCCAAATCTCACCAAACAAAGGAAAAATGCAATTACTATAGGGTTTGTGAGAAGCAATGAGTTTAGCTAAAATTTAAATGAAATTGTTGTTGCTTTTTTTTAAAAATATATCTTTATTGATTTCAGAGAGGAAAAGAGAGGGAAAGAAAGAGATAGAAACATCAATGATGAGAAAGTCACCGATTGGCTGCCTCCTGCACGCCCCGACTGGGGATCCAGCCCCCAACCCGGGCATGTGCCCTGACCAGGAATCAAAGCTGGATCACCTGGATCCTAGGTCGACGCTCAACCGCTGAGCCACGCCTGGCTGAGCTGTTGTTACTTTTTAAATTAATTACTATTACTATTATTTTTAAATCCTCACTCAACGATATTTTATGTGAGAGAGACACATTGATTGGTTGCCTCCTGAACATGGTTCCGACTGGGGTCAGGGATCGAGCCTGCAACTGAGGCAGGCGGAAATTGAACGCGGGACCCTTCAATCCGAGGGCCAACGCTCTAACCACTGAGTCAAACCGGCTAGAGCGCACTGTTGTTTTTTAAAATATGTTTTTATTGATTTTAGAGATAGAGGGAGAGAAACATATGTTGGCTGCCTCCTGCACGCCCCCTACTGGGGATTGAGCCA